CAGTGACCAAGCCCCCCACCCCGTGTCATCCAGTGACGCTACGCCACTGCCTGGGGGTACCCGGAATATATCCGGGTGTAGTCTATTTGGTGAGGCTACCAATCACCTTATCATCGTATTTTAATGTGATTTAATGGGTTTAAATTCAATTCATATTCAAGCAACTTCCCCGGGGTACCCGGAACATGTCCAAGTGTGTCCAATGTGGTCTGGAACACTTAACACGACTTGCATTGATCTTATTTTTGAATTCTGAAGTAATTTGATGTGTCGCATGATGGTTTTAATACATTTTCCGTTAAATCCAGCGTGAAGGCCCATATTCACCGGATCTTATTCCGACTATATCTCCGGAACCGGTTCACCGATTCCAAAACCGTTCAATAGCGTTCAATGGGACCCCAAGACCTATCATTTGGCGCCGAGTTTGTCCAAATCGGTTGAGCGGTTGCTGAGAAACGTGAGCGCATTCATTTCGTTACATACACACACACATACACACATACACACACAGACATGTTCCGATCTCGTCGAGCTGAGTCGAATGGTATATGACACTCGGTTCTCCGGGCCTCGGATCGATAGTCGGTTTTTCAAGTGATATCTATACCCTTCTTTGTAAGAAGGGTAAAAAGGTAAATATTTTCCTTCGATCCATCGTACACTATACGATACTCATTGACTGTCTAATCCGACAATTGTTGCAGCTACATTAAAGCAGAGAATAGAAATTAGAAAATTACAAACTAGATTTCAAATTAAATGTAGAGTTCACTATAAATTTGCAATTATTCTCATTGTTTTTACCTGTAATTAATGATAGCTGGCACTGTTGAAATTGCAAAACAGAATACGCGGGAAAGTGAAGGGTGATAGTTTGAGAGCTCACACACGTTACTAAGCATCCAGCAAAATATTGCAAATTACTGAACATACAGCAGAACACTGTTTTGCTGGAAGCTGTTCAGCAATTTGTTTGCTGGAACTTGATTTCAAAATTGAGTGTGCAGGATTGATTCCACCAAATATCTGCTAATAAACTCGGAACTGACAGCATCAGTAGAACGAAACAGGCGAGAAACTGAAAGAATATGAAAAACGTTCTCACAATTCCGGAGTGATTTGAGATTTGAGCGTAATTGCTTTTGTAAACAAACGTGTCAATCACCGATTTCTCACGAATAGAAGCTCAATCTCGTAAAAATACTATACCAAATGACAGACCAATCAATCCTGATAGTATTATTAGCTTTCGATATTGAGGTTTTATTCGCGAGAAATCGGCGATTTACGTGTTTGTTTACAAATTTAATTACGGCCAAATCTCAAATCACTCCGCAATTATGTTCAAAACTGGAATTGATTTTCCTGCAAATAAACTTGAAAGCTACTCAGTAATTAGCCACAGTATATTTTCACTCAATTCTGCGATCAAAGTTGCACGTCGCTATCGTCAAATCAATTGACTAAAAAAAAACTTGAAAAGAACGATAAATACGCAATTAATTTACTAACCCTATACTTGTTCAACTTGCAGCACATTATTAGTTGCGTAGTAGTTTTTGTTTGAACGAAATGATTAGTTTTGGAACAAGTGCCAATATCACTTATGTGAATCTTGATTACTTTTTCGAACTGGCGTATCAGCTTTTGTAAACAATGCATTTGATCGTCGGTTTGGTGTAACTGGTAGCTCACCCACGCATACTACCCAACTAACATTTTCAACTTTATAAGCCAACTTTTCCAGCGTTGTGCTGAAAAGAAGCTGAAATGAAGCTGCAGATACAGCTACAAGCAGAAGCTAGCAAAATAGTTTTGGAGAGCGTTTACTCAACTTTTCCATAACCATTATTCAATTTGTCAGCCGCACTGAATAACATCAGCCAATAAACACTAATATCCCTTCTATACAAATATTAATCAACTTTCAACTTTTAGCTTCAAAAGAAAGCTAATAAAGCGAATATATTTCTTATTTGATGGCTGCTACACAACCAACCATTCTTGCTGAATAACATAAACATCAAAAGTGCCTTTTCAACAACTTGTACTCAACTAATAAACTGTGTTAGCGTTACTTTGGAAGCTATTTTACAGTCAACTAGGTTTATTTTTAGACTTGTGCAGTTTTACAGTTCTTACTCTGCTTCTTTACAAAGCTGAATTAACTAGTCGAGAAAAGTGATTCACATGCACTATTATAAAGCCGCTACTCAGCGATCTTGTTGTAGAAGGGCATGCAAATTTATTTACGTCAGTTCAAAGTGTTGGCGTAGCAAAGTTGGTAGTATCAAGGTTCGCCAATGCGGTCGTCTAGAGTTCGATTCCAGGTTCCGGTGCATTGTAAATAATTTGGTGGTGTTGCTTTATAACTAATTTCGATTAATTTGATTCGCAGTAAAGGGTGTCCACGATGAAATTGCCACACACAAAATTGATTCGCAAAATTCGAGTTTTCATCCGATTGCCATCAAATTTTCAGGGATTGAGAAATAACTATTAAACTTCATTTTACCATTTTACTCGTATTTTATTTACAGTCCATACGCAAATGCCCACACCTTGGCCTTAACCCCGGCCATAAGATTCTGCACAACCTGTGAATCAACCGTTTTTTGCATGTAAACCCATACTTTCTTCAGTTCCTCGACTGTCTTCACTACCTTAGGTCGTTTAAAAAGGTGCTGCTTCATAATCGCCCAGTACTTCTCGATGGGTCGGAGCTCCGGAGTGTTGGGAGGGTTGAACATTTTCGGCACGAAATTGACCTTATTGTCCGCATACCACTTCAGCACATCCTTGGAGTAGTGACATGAGGCCAAATCCGGCCAGAAGATTGTTGGGACGTTGTGGGCCTTCAGGAGAGGAAGCAGCCGCTTCTGGAGGCACTCTTTTATGTACACCTGTCCGTTCATCGTGTCCTGGGTCACGAAAGGTGCACTCCGCTTCCCGCACGTGCAGATGGCTTGCCAAACCAGGAATTTCTTCGCAAATTTGGACATCTTCTGAGTGCGGACATGCTCCGGAACGCTGAACTTATCCTTGGCCGTGAAAAACAGGTTGCCGGGGATCTGTTTGAAGTCGGCCTTCACATATGTTTCGTCGTTCATGATGCAGCATTCAACTTTCGTCAGCATGTTGAGGTACAACTTCCTGGCACGGGTTTTGGCGGACTTGTTCTGCTTCTCGTCGTGATTAGGGGCCTTTTGTACCTTGAACGTTCGAAGCCCAGCCTTAGTTTTGGCCTTCTGGACAAAACTTCGGCTTAGGTGCAGCTTCTTAGCCACATCCCTAACGGAGGCGTTCGGATTTCGGTTGAAGGCCCCAACTACGCGGTTGTGATTTTTGGTGTTGTACGGAATACTTTTTCCTTCACTTCTGGGCTTCCGATCCGTGGTCAACCGTTCCTCGAACCGCTTAATCACTCGCGACACCGTGGAATTCGCGATTCCCAACGTTTTAGCGATGGAACGATGCGAGAGATCCTTGTTCTCGTGATGAATGCGCAAGATTTTATCACGCACGAGCTGTTCTTTCGACTCCATTTCCGCGAGTTTTGATCACAGGACTTTAAAACTTGCAGGATGTAAATAATGCACTATGAACTAAATCCACCCAAATTTTCATTAAATTCTACCCAACGGTTAAAAAGTTAGAGCAATTTCATAGTGTGGCAATTTCATCGTGGACTCCCTTTACAATTAACATGATAAATTCCTAAAAAAAAAGGGTAAAAGCAATAATTTAACCTGGCGTCAAGAGAAAGCTGTGTAGAGATTATTGGATAATCGAGTAAAGGTTGAGTAAGCGCCTTTCAAGTTCACATACAACTAAACAGCAGGATAACTGCTGTATAGAAGCGTAAATAGATATGCAATAAGAGCTTGTCCCAACCGTCCCAACAGCCATAAGTAGCTGACTAAGTTCGCCAAATTTGCTTGTATAGAGGTTGAGTAAAGGTTTCCTCATATCGTATAACATTTGAATACAGCTTGAGGCTGTATAAATGAAATGAGTGAAGCGTTTACATTGCGAAAATTGTTAGTTGGATAATACCACTATCAGGTAGGGGGAGATTTCCCCTATCTGATGGTAGTGTTAGCATGCGTAGGCGAGCCACCAGTTACGCCAAATCGACGAACAAAAGCATTGTTTTCAAAAGCTGATACGTCGAGAACTGTTGAAATCAATCAAACTAGATTATTTTCCTGGTGAATTATTCAAATTCCTGACTTTTTCTCGGTTTTTCATGATGAAAATTCCCGGTTTTCCAATGAGCAAAATTCCGATTTTCCTGGAAAAACTTCTCAAATATGACAAAAATCGAGAGATATTGCACTCAGTATATTAGTGCTACTAGACCGAGTAAAATTTTGAGTTAAATTCGAATCAGTTACTAACTTACTCACTATCATCGGCCGTGTACTCATCGGCGATGACACCATATCGGTATGGTGCAAAACAGAGAAAGACCCGATGACAAACAGTTGACTGGAGCAATTTGCATGTATGTAACTAGGTACTCTAATTATCACAATCACCCCGCGGTATGTAGCTGTAAAACTCCCGGATTACCGGTGGTTGGGATTTTTTTTTTGTCGTGGAAGCTTACCATTGAATCACTGATTGAACTTCTCATCAGCACGCGGCCGTCACGCGAAGTCCAATTCGCGGTCGAACAATATTTGATTTCACCCGATGATTGAGTTCCCCCGCGTGATTGGGTTCATATTTGAACAGTACCGACTGTGTTTGCATGTGGGAATGATAACTAATCCAAAGAACATTTTGCCGCTATCGATCACGCATCAAATGCAAATTGGTTTGTTATTTGCGTGCCCGATCGAAAGGAACCGTAGCCGGTGGTGGTTCCTAATTTGTACTGCCAGAACAATGGATCGCTTATGACGTCTGCATAGCGATGAATGTTAGTCCACTGACCCAGTAACGAACAGGGATTTCTTTCACAATTAATGTAGTGAGCGCCATATTCTCCCTCAGTTCTTTTAAATGTTGTTTATTCATTCACTATTATACTCAAATAAAAACTGCCAGTTGGTAGCACAATCAGAAGAAGCCTTCATGAGAATACAATTATTTAACTATTTATATGCGCTTCCTCCTCCTTTGTCCGTTACCGTTAGACATAATTATTACACACTTTTAGCATCGGGTTTTTTTGTTGTTGCAGTTTTTGTTTGTTTTGCAGCATTCTCTACCATTTTCGGTTCTCTTCTACTATCACACTACTAGATGAATGCGTGGCTGTCGTCAGTACGAGTAGTTTGCAAGTCTTAGTTCGGAACAAAAAATATATACCTTAATAACCCTAGGATCGTTCTGCTCGAACAGCAATAGTTGTTTGTTACTTTTTTACACATAACTTAAGATTTAAAAACACAGTAATTTTTCATATAATTGCTCATATGTCAACGTTACCCGAAAATTATTCTTTCCGTAACATTTTGTGGCTTTCTATTTGCATTTCGTTACGTTGGTGTGGAGTCCTAACTTTGTAGCGTTATCTTCAGTTTGTTTCCTTTGTTTTCAGTAACTACTGCTGTGTTGCTAATACATATAATTAATATAATTAATCATCAGTTATAGACTTGGGAACAGAAAACAAATAATTATGGAAAAAAAACTCTAATCAATTGAGGATCGGCATTTCCTTTGCTGTTAGTGGCTATACTATTACAATAAAATTAGTCAATTTTTACATTGGAATAAATTTTCCGCACGAATATGTTCGTTCCCATGTAGCCAACAGTGCCGCAGATGATACCGAGGGCACCGGAGAACAGCGCCATGTAGCCGAAGTAGAACGCCGTCTGGAAAAGGCCGTACATTCTGTGGGCGAAAAGGAAAATAACAAATGATGGACGTGAGAAACTTGTTTGCAAGGGTGAAAGTAACGAAATGAAACGGAACAAAAATGGCACTCGCGGAGAACAATGCCTTGCGTGTGCGGCTGTCATTGAAGTGCAGAACACTGTGATGGTTATCGATGGGAAGCAGTTGCAATGTGATGCTTCCGAGGCGAAGATGAAGATGGGATAAGATTCAAGAGTGATTTTTTAAATAGTCGTATCTGCTTTACCCTATTGAGGTTTGAAAATTAACTTTTGATATTGTGTGTTGCACTCGTTTTTTTTGTAGAACTCAGAGGGAGAGATGGGCAGAGATAATGTTTTGAGCCAAATGAACAGTCAAAATCTGAGCCAATCGAACATTCCCATTAGAATTTTTCCGCAGGTGCAAAATCTTGGGTGAAGCAAATTTCTGTGCCTGTGAACTCCGAATGGACTAAAGGCAACACTTTCTGTTGTAAAAAATCCAGATATATCTCTTAGTTTATGTTTACCCCATCCGGAATGCTAAAAACAGGAGATTTCTTCCCATTTGATACAACTGCTGCCCAAATCATCACCGAATCTGGTGTTTGCGCTTTGTAGCCGAGTTTGTTGTTGGGATCAGTCGAACTGCGATGCTTGCATTGACGAGTGCACGGATGGATTTGAGTTCACTCACTCGACAAAAAGTGACACAACAGCGGGGCCCTGTTTACCAAAAATGAACACATGAATAATGCTCGCGTAACATTTTAAACGGGCCTATCAACATTTGTACACAAAACTTGTTAAGCCTTTTTCGCGCGAACCGAATACTCCCACGCAAACTAACAGCACCGTCGGGTTGGGAAAATTCTCCTCTTTCCGATAGTGATCTTGGTTTACGTGGACGTACTTCGGTTCTCGTGAAAAGGACCTAGCAAATTATTTACAAAAGTTGATAGGCCCTTTTCAAATGCTACGCGAGCATTATTCATGTGTTCATTTTTAGTAAACAGGGCCCCGCTGTTGTGTCATTTTTTTTTTTAGTAGATGAACAAAAGTTCACCCTTGCACTCGTCTATAGCCAGTCCAGTGGCAGGCGCATAGGCAACATGTTATACAGTGACAGCGGGCCCAGCACAGCAAAATAAACGATTTGAGCCCGGGACATGCTGCCTACTGTCAAACGCTGCTGTTGGTATAGGCCTTGTCACTGGCCTGTCTATAGCACTCTGTCATTTTGATGGTTAAATTTGCGGCCAACGTCCAATAGCTTTTCATCCGAATAAATCACCAAGACGTCAGGGTTATCCGCGAGCCACTTCTTAAGTTCAAAGTGTTTTTTATGTTACTTCATACGCGAAGTTAACGATTTTCAGAGTTGGTTGGAAATGCTAACATGAAGCTTTAGTGTGATGATTTATTAGCTAGAGAATGATCTTTAGAAGAATGTAGGTGGATAGTTCCGTTAGAGTACGGCAGTATGAAAATTGAATAGAAGTTGAAAATGAGCGAAGGGCCATTAAAGCGACAGTTTTCAAGATGACGCACATTTTTGCCTAGCCCGTACGATGTACGCGGGGACTTGAAGTATGTCTCCAAGTCCACAGGCAAAAATGTGCGTCCCTCTTGTTGCTCATAAACTGACTGCGGCTGTGGAATAGTTCTAGCGACGTTTTCATCACTACCTACCACTTCTTAAGGATTCCCGAAAAAAAAATTACAGTGAAATTTTTAGTGGAAACAATGCTCTAACATTAATATTTACTGTCGACAATAAAAATGATTGTTATAATGTTGTACTCTTCCGAAAACGGCAAAACTGCTACCTAGCTGTACAATGAATGTACATAATAAAATGTTGTTACAATGTTTTTTATCGTATTTTTCATTTATTTTATTGTTAACATAATTCGATCATGAACAATAATGAACAACTCTATTACAATAAAAATTGTTGTTACATTAAATATTGGTGTATTTTCATTGTGGGTTACTTCACGAACAATAAAAATAAATCTGATTGAAGCATGTAGACTATGAGAGGGTCAGCAACACTGCCAATGTAATCAAGATAGGCGCTGCTCGTATGGCTCTTGCTTTGACAGTTCGTTTGGCTCTATTCGTTGCCAAGTCAATTGAACGCCTACGACCAGATCGGTTTGAGTTGAACTCAACTCTCCTGCCTCATCTAAATCCCGCTTAATGCAGACCTTTTCCGGCAGTCAATAATCATACAATAATAATAATAAAGTCCACCACTTGAAGATGTCAGGAAATAACTCTCAGGTGGAAGCATATTTCATGGGCGATTCTCTCCAGTTGAATGCATTAACTTATCAACGACGCTCAACCACCAAGGAGACGTGACCTAGAGAGATCGAGTGCAGGAGAGTTGGCCTCCATTTCTGACAAGTTCCGGATCGAATCTCAATCCAAAACCAGTAAAAAAGGACTCACCCGTAACAGACATACCACCCCCTTCCCTTCCCGGGGCGACGTTTTATTTTTTCGATTTATTTTTAAAGTCGATAAAGTAGATCTTTCAAGCCAACACATACACTCTAAAGTACACTGTTATTTTTTTTAATCAATAAATTTGCCAACCAACAATAAAATAACAATAATATATAATGTTATTGAAAAAATTATATGGGGAAATCACGAAAATTTCATTGTTAAGATACTTAACAACCCCCCTTTTTTATTGTAAATTTTCCATTTACCATGAAATTTACTGTTTTGTACAACATTAATCAAGGTAAATTTATTGTAGACGTAACAATATAAATCATTGTTAAGACAATAATTTACGTCTTATTGTTACATTGTTTTTTATTGTATTTTTGTTGTTATTTTTTTTTCGGGTTTTGCTTCTTTCCAGCCGCTTCTTCTTTGCTGCTCCTGAGAGAAGTTGACGTTGTTGCAGTTTAGACGGATAGAGGTCAAGAACATTTTTAACCACGATTTGCATCATCATACGCGACACCTGATAGTCCTTGGCCATTGGAATCATAGACTTTACCGTAGTCCGGCGAATTTTGTTGACCACCGCCTTTATCAACGCCCGTGTCCAAACAGAACGGCGTCTCCTTGACCCAGGGCTTCTTGAAGCTCCACTTCCATCCTCCAATCGTTCTTTTACATCGTCAGACAAACTTTCTTTTCACACCCAGCAGCTAGGCTATCTCACCGACCTACTTCTGTGTCTCCAGCAGCTTGAAAACCGCGAGACGCTTCGATTCCCAGTCCATATTTCTGTAATATCACTATATCACAAAACTTTTATCACGCTGATTACTTCCCAGGGGAACGTCTTTACACTTACATTGAGAATCAGATACGGGCTCGGGTTTGTTTGACAGTTCAAATCAAAGGGACCGTTTTATCGAAGACTACAAACAGGGTTGCTTCCACTCACTTGCAGTAAATTTTTTTTTTCGGAATTATGAAATCATTAGGTGTTATAGTGGTTATTAATACTTGAGGTTTAAAAGAAAAGATCGTGAAGTATGTGTTTGACACATAAAACCTGTCAAAATTGCTTTCAGCGCGTCACAATCAGCGATTTTACGATACGGGAGCACTCACTCTGAGTGAACGCTCATGAATCATAAGATCGCTGATTGTGACGCTCTGAAAGCGAAACTGACAGTTTTGTGAGTCAAACACACCCTTTACGGAGATGAACTAGCCTACGGCTAAAAATCTCCTAAATAAAAAAGAAGAAAAAAACACATTTTGCACCCTCTTATTGTTACTTGCAAGTACAACACATCATTATATCATCTAATGATTTTATTATTCCAAAAAACAATTTTTTATAGCAAGTGAGTGGAAGCAACCCTGACTACAAATCAAGAAGTTTGGCAACTATTCCCTTCTCGCATACAAATGTCAAACGTTACTGATAACAGCACTTCTGTCAATCAAACTTTGAAGCACAAGTGTTAGTGAGACTGCTCATAAACAGTGACTGTGTGCGTGACCCAAGGGGTAAGTCACTCAGCACATTATGCTGAAATTAGATTCGGCACTGCTTGGGCACATCCATCGGCAGACCTTCGGCACAATCTCGTAGACATTGGATTGTTGAAAATACAATGTGAGCACTGCTGGACAACTGTCATTGTAGTTGTTCATAACATTACGTGCTGTTTGACTGTATGTTCAGGAACATCCTTTAGATGAATTTACCAAAGGAACTCAGACCAGCTGTTCACTAATAGATCTAAATACGAAATGTAGGTTCTAGAGTGAGCTCAAGAGGACATAATCAGACCCCATTAGTACCCTTAATTCAAATAATGCTGCAACTCACACTAAACAAACTACCGAAGTCATATTCATCATCCTCTACAGTCGGTCCCCCACAATGTTCCCCACCGTTTTCGGCCGCTGATAGATCGTTGTTTTTCACATCACAAAAGGCTAGGCTTCTGATCTACCTTTGAGGGCATTATAATACCCTATAACACAGGACTTTTATTATCCTATGAACACAAAACACCAAAATTTTGTAAACCTGCCACTTCCCGCGTCATCCTCAATCCGATCTATGCTTGCGATTTCAAACCAAAACATTCAAGATGTCAAAAATACCGGGTTGCCGGGATGCGTATTTTACAAACAATCGCAGCTTGCTCTATGACCGGCAACATCAGCACACCTGCGGCACACATGCGGTACACTGACAAAAAAGATGACGAAAGATTGGTGTGCGGAGTGACCTAATGTCACCGAAACGAATAATCATAACACGGTACTCGTTGTTGTTTTTGTTTTTCTCTACAAAATTTCACGGCAATTTGTTTCCTAATCCCAGCAAGCCGGTGGTTTTCCAACTCCAACCCAAAAAACTTGTCATGGTGGATCAAGTAGAGGATTGAAACTCGAATCGATACCCAGTGAAAGTAACTTTTGCTTGTGAATGAGGAACCGAAATATTGTTTATTTTGCCTGTTGAAAGCAATCAATTATAAGGAATTGGCAGCTTCCACCACCATTGAGTGAACT